GGTAGAAAAAACCCGTCGTATATTCAAAAGCTATAAACAGAGAAATAGAACATAAATCAAAAACCTGAACCGTCGTAGCATTTCAATTAAGACGACGGACAGTTGAAAAAACTAACATAGTACATAAGTTCAGACGGCGGCATAAAATTACCGTTGTACATAATCATCTGACTGCTCTCAATCAATGAAGCTGACATCACAAGATCACCAAAATTTACCAGACGTTGTCCCACCACAATGTCACGGATGGATGCCTTCAAACCCCTAGTAAACAGCTGACATTTCTTCCTCTCGTCTGCTACCAGTGGTGTGCAGTACTTGGACAACTCATTAAATTTCTTTTCATATTCTAGCACCGTCATACTTCCCTGTTCAAGTTGAAAAAACTCCTCCATCTTCATATTTTGATAGGCTAAAGGATAGAACTGCTCATCAAATGCAGTCAGAAAAACTTGCCACATGATGGTCGATGGGTCCTGATACCGCCTTCTTACTGATTTCCACCAGTACCTTGCATTTCTAAAAAGAAAGAAGATAGCCAACACTACTCTGCGTTCCTGCGGAACGTCCATCACATCCATAACTCTTTCCATTTTCTCTATCCATTCTTCAACCATGGCTGGCTCACAATGACCATTAAATTCCACTGCCCCTACCCTTCTAGCTTGGTCCTCATATGCCATGGATGCATCTCTGGTATGCCCGATTCGAGACAAGGCCTGAGTTAACAACTCCAGTGTATGCTGAAAATTGGGGTCAATTGGTGAAGTGGCCATCGTCGATGCTGCCCCTGTCTGACCTCCTACCAAAGACTGTTCAACCTGGCAAGTGATCGGTGCGTATTTATATATCATTTTGTACCCTTCTAACTTATGATTTGATTATGTTTTTGAGTTAAACTTGTGGTTTTAATATATTTTGTGTTGGTTTCAGTGTAATAAGCTTGAGACTCATTAAATGCATTTTGGAGACAAGTTAGCTCAAAACGGTGTCTGCAGATCAGTCAACTTCACGAATTGGACTGTACTTTCTCAAGATGAATCAGATGCTGAGCCCTATATCATTGGAAAGATGCAAAATTCTAGTCTCTGGAGAATTTTACGGTTCATGATTCTGAGTCTTCTAGAGAAAGTTATGCAAGTTTTGGCAGCTTAAGGTCAAATTCGGCAGCATCTGCGTTACTGGGCCAAAAATGACATTTGAAGGTCTTTCCGATTTTTTCTTGAGTTGGGCTGCATATGCTTGGAAATATAATTCAAAGGGTTTGAAGATCCAGATTTTTCTAGATTTTGTAGGAGGGAAGATCAAGCCCAAAACAAGCCCACAAGCTGATTGCAATGAAGTCAATTCCAGTCTATTTTCGGCAGTCAACTTGCAAGGCCCAAAACATATACTTGTACTGCTCAGATGGGAATGCATTCTTTATAAACGTTGTTCCAATGGGTGTCTATTATGACATATCCAAATTTGAGCCCCATTGGATACATATTGAAACCTCAAGCCTTCCTACACCAAGCCTGGTTAAGAAGAATCGTTTGAAAACCACATGGGTTGGCAGCAAAAGGTAGCCACAATTGAACTCCTTTGAAAACCCATGTGAAGAAAGCTTGAGGTGCAGCAAAAGAAGTATGGGATGGAATTGATTCCAACCACACTAACATAGACAAGATGAAGTGGGAGTTATGGATTGTATTAAAAGAGGAATGGTGGTATTGGAATTCATCATGTTGTTCCTCCCTCTTAGCCCTATAAATAGAGAAGTCTTCAAGCTTCAAAACACAGCCCCAAAGGGGGGAGCTCTCAAACACTTCTCTAGAGCTCCCCTCCCTTCTCTCCCTCAAATTCTCTTAGTTTCTCTTTCTAGTTTTCAATTGTTGTAATGAAATCTTTGTGCTGAAATTCTCCTTAAGTTTTTCTTAGTTCCAATTTACTTTTCATTGTTATGTCAATACTTTTCTTTAGTTTCAAGTTTGATTAGTTTCCAAGTTTCAATTATGGTTTTTGTTCTTATTCATTATGCTTATAAGTTAATATGCTAGTTTGAATGATTGATCACCATTGAGGCTTGCATGTTAGCTATATTGGTTTGAATTAAGAGTAGACACCATGCTTTAATTCCAATTGAACTATGAATAGGAAGAGTATGTATGGACATTCGACAACAGGGATTAGATACATAATTGGTTGTTTAAAATGTTCTTCTATGTTTAATGGACTCCTAATGCTTAGTTTAGGTTAGAGAACAGATGATCAAATTAGGGAATTAGGAATATAAGGTTAGGACCAAACACCATGGCTTAATCATACTTTAGCTAGAATCAATCTGTTAATATAATCGAATTTGGGAACTTATCTGCTTGAGTTATTTTCTTTCCTTTCTTTCTTGTTTTATTTATTTTCTTTCTTGTTTTTCTGTTTTGTGTATGAAAACTGAATTGGATTACTCAATCACCAATCCCTGTGGAATTGACCTTGCACTTACATATGCTATACTACCAAACGGCTCGTGCACTTGCGAGTATCACAAGTTGAGGATGCAGCTGAATCCATTTTGGTGCAGCTGAAACGACGCAACAAGTTTTTGGCGCCGTTGCCGAGGATTGGTAACATTGCTTGATTCTATTGGGTTTTCGTACTTTTTATTTTATTTATTTATAATGTTTAAAGTCTACTTAGTTCTCTATTGTTCTTCTTGTTCTTAATGGGTTCGGAATTTATGTTTAGACTGAACACCATAGCTAAATTCTTTTTCTGAATACTTGATTAAAACCACACACCATATGGATAATCATATTTGAGAAAGAACGAACTTCATAAGCTAGTTTGATTTACTTTGTTGCTTGTTACTTTGAAGCATGAAATTGGATGTGTGTTGATTTTCCTTTTCATTTTAGTTTTTATTTCCTAATCCTTTAATTTTGTTTCAAGTTTTCTGTGTTTGTTTTAAGCAATTTGGGATAGCTCAATAAAAATGGAGAGAGATGGCAACCTCAATCATATGAATGGGAAGTGTGGAGCAATGGGAGAAGTCGCGACCTCCAAGTGCATCCATGCTCAACCTAATCGCTTCAAGGGGGAGCATTTCAATCCTTTCTCTGTATTTGTTTTGTTTTTATTTTAGTAATTTTAAGTTTCTATTTCTTTTTATATAAAAAAAAAATTTAAAAAGATTTTCCATATAAGCTAACTTTTGGTAACCCGAGTGAGCACCTCCGTCAATACAGTGCCTAGGAGTTCTTTAGGCGACACCTTCAGTGTCTAAGAAGTTTGGGTTTTAAACGGGAGCATTGTGACCCCTCCAACCTTCCCGGATCCCCTGGCTGTGTTTTCTGAGGCCCTTAACTGGTCATCCGTGAGTTGCTTGTATATTCGTGTGTTTTTAAATTAAGTTTTATTTATTTATTTATTTTCTTTGTTTTCTTTTCTGTATAGTCTTTGTTTTTGTTTTGTTAAGTTAGTTTATTTATTT